CTCCTCCTCTTCTTCCTCCTCCTCCTTCTTCTTCTTCCTTTTTTTTTTGCTCCTTGAATGCCTTCAGGGCACTTTTGGCCGGCTGGAGTGTTGTGGGGATCGAACTACAGCAACCTGAGGCTGACAGCTTTGTGGAAGCGTATCTTCTTAAAAAATAAAAACAAAACAAAAAAAAAACCCCAGGAGACTAGATTCAGTGGCCCATGCTTGTAATCCCAGCTACCTGTTATAATCTCAGATACCTAGGGGGCAGAGTCAAGAGGGTCAAAAGTTGAAGGCTAACCTGGCAATTTAGGGAGACCCTGCCTCAAAATGAAAAACAAGAGTTTGGGGATGTAGTTCAGTGGGAAGAACAGGGTGCAATGCCCCGTACTGAAAATCAAACAAACTAACACATATAAACCAACAATAGCAGGATCAGGTATGTCATAGATGAGTTTTAGGAAATGTTTAAGGTATAGAAAATCCCTGTGTTACATAAACTATTTTAGAGGAAAGACGCTATCACACAGTTTTGTGTGGCTGGAATAATACCGTGCTATCAAAAACTGGCATTGGAAATTCAAGAAAAAAAATAGGTCAGTGTTTCTTTTGAACATAGATGTGAAAATATAAATAAACTATTAACCAGTTGAAGTCAGCAGGATAATAAAAATAACATACCATAAGCAAGTGGAGTTTTACCCATAGCATGATAGAATAAAAAGATGGCTTAACAGAAATGTAATCCACCAGGTTAACAGATTAAAAACCATGTGATTATCTCAGCAGATGCAGAAAGGCATTCATGAAAATTCAACACTTTTGTAATGTGCTAAATGAATCAGGGGAACAGGCTAAATTTAGGTGAATCTCTTTATAAAGCAGACTCCATCTCATTTATATTTTGAGTAAATCCAGATTTTCAACTATTAGATTTATCTTTTCATACCAGTTCTTTTGCATGTCCAAAGCCATGCTAGGCTCAGTTCTTGGGGTGTCTATTAAAAACCCACAAACAATGAAAAATAATGGTGACCTTAAAGGCGGCGAATTGCATTTCCCATGTTTCAGTGGCAGATGACTTTGCTAGGTTTGTACCTTAAATACCCACCCACCCTAGGGCACCGAGGCAGGATTCCATTTTCTCACTGTTTGAGTGCTGTGCTTCACACACAGACCCAGTGAATACAGGCTGATCTGCCCCTAGGGACCTGAAGCAAGAGCCCCTGTGTGGCGTGACCTCAGCCACCTTTCTCGCTGACTCCACTTCTTATGGAGGCCTTGGTCTCACCTTTGTCCATGCTGTAGGTCCAAAGTGAAGACAGTGCATGAGCGGATCCCCTTGGCTGGACTGAGCAAGCTGCCTAGCGTCCCTCAGATTGCTAAGGTAAGCCTCAACCCCTGAGAGCAGGTGGCTGCCTCTTATCACCCTGCTCTGGTCTCTGGGGTGGGGTGCAGGTCTGGCATTTGGGAGAAGCCACTTTTTTCTACCATCTTTTTTACTACATGGATGAGAGTGGGGGCTGCTGGCAGCTGCTTCTGCCTTCCCTTCCCCTCCTCACCTCATTTTTGCTGCATGGTTGCTGCCCCGGAGAGCTCATAGCTACTTTTGGAGAAAAGCTGAAAGCTGGGCTGGCCATGGTGAATGCTGTTGGGTTTCAGAGAAAGGGTGGGAAGAGTGGCCAGGAGAGTTTTCACAGCTGAGCACATGGCGAAGAATGATCCAGACCCAGCGCTACCTCAAGGAAGGAGTTGTCATGGGCCCCATGGATAGAGGGACCCATGTTACTGCTTTGAGAACAGGGAACTTGGGTGTGAAATCAGCAAAGAAGGGTGAAGGGCTGGGTTGATCCTCACTCTGGGAATGGGAGTGCTAACAGAATTTGTGCCAACTACTTTGGCGGGAGTTGTGGGAGTGGCTTTTTGGCATTGTTCATGATTAGTGTAGAGATAAACCTCAGCCCTCCACCCCCACTTTATCAGGAAGTTCCAGAAAGGTTAGTTAACTGGTATGGGGCATACTTAGTGAGCAGTAGAGCCAGAATTCGATCCTAGAGCCCTGACCCTGTCTGTCGTACCCTGCCATGCTGCTTTCTCTTGGTGAATACAGAAATCCTGATGTATTTCCTACATTCTGCCCCTGAACTGTGTTTCTCTTCCCACTCAGGCCTTCTGTGATGATGCTGTGGGGCTGAAATTCAACCCTGTCCTGTACCCTAAGGTGAGGACCTTCTTGTACCCCTTTGTCTGTTGTCCAGGACTCTGAATCTTCGCATGGATTTGTATACCCATGCTCACTCTGTGGGGAGTTCTCTGCATCATGGTGGGGTTTTCTGGGATCTCCATAGTAAGCTTCTTTCTCCTTCTCTGCCCCTTCTTCCAAAATAGTCCACTGGAAAACCATCCTCAGCATGCCTGTGTCTCTAGCCTACCTGTGTTGGCCCCCAGCTTGCTGTGAAGGTGGCAGACGATTGATAATCTGGCTGAGGGTAGCTTCTTTACCTCCCCAAAGTTGAACCTCCCTGAGGCTTGTTCTGGGCAGGGCATGATTCTCCCTGTCAGTGGGAGCTGGTGCAGATCCGCTCTGTGGTTGCGGAGGGGTAGGATACCGAGGGTGGACACAGGCTAAGAACTAAAAGGCCAGACTTCACTGCCTGTTGTTCCCTGTTACCTCAGCCCTGAGGCATTACAAGCCCCTGCTGGCCTTAGTTAATAAACTGGCTAGTTCTCTGATAGCAGTTTTCTTAGCATTGGCCTGATCTTGACTCCAGTTCTGATATATAGTGGTGTGAGTTGCAAGAAGCACAATAATAATGAAATAAACCAAGAAACGTGCTCAAGAATGATTATGGCATGATGGGACTTAAATCACCCATGGATGGAAAATTGCTTGAAATTGGCCCCAGGAAAAGATCCTGTGAACTGACTGCTGCTTCCTGAGCCAGCAGGGTCTGGAGGGAGGAAGCAGAAGCAGAGCTGTGCCTCTGGCCTTCCGCTGTGGCCAGTGCTGTTGCCGGTGCTGTGGCCGCTTGAGGCTTGCCAGGGCCAGCTGAGCCCATGCCCCTAGTTCCAACTCTGACATCCGGGAACCATGTGATGCGTGTCTGGTGGGCAAGAGAGACCTCTATCCTGGTGAAACATCCAGATCTCCCTGGAATAAATGCCTTAAATGTCTGTGACTGGGTGCGACACACTCAAAGCCTCTATTGGTTCCTCCACTATAGCAGAGCCCTCTCCTGGAAAGTCCTCCTCCCAAATGCTTCTTTTTAACTCCTTTAGAGACTGTGGACACTACCAATAATGTACTTTGCACCTCTGAATGTTTCTTATCATTCAGACTGTCTTCCTTTTATAATTAAGGTTAATTAGTGAGGTGTTTTTTTTTTTTTTTTTTTTTGCGGAACCGGGGATTGAACTCAGGCCCTTGCACTTGCTAGGCAAGTGCTTATCTACTGAGCCATCTCCCCGGCCCTCTAATTAGTAAGCTTTAACCACACATTAAAACCCCAGCATAGAGACCTATCTGAACTACAGGTTTGGCATTTTGTTGTTGTCGTCAGATCTTGTTTACTGTGAGAACCCAGGGATGTGTGTGTACGTGGTTCTTGCTGTCACTTGGAAAGCCTCCAGCCCTGCAAATACGGGAAGAGGAGCTGTATTTTCATGTTTGCTAAATCTGAAGATACGTATAACTGCTTAAGATCATTTGGGATGTTAATCTGGCTGAGGGTGTGTGTGTGTGTCACAAATTTGCAGGGTTTAGAATCTTGCTTGGAAGGTCTCCATGGCCTGGTCCCTCTTCCTGGCAGGGCAGCTGATCCACCCCTTGGACTCATCCCAGGCAGGAGTGAGGGCCTCCTGTGCAGCCAGCAGGGCTCTTGCTGGGCGTGCAGAGAAGTGTCCGCTTCCTCAGGTATCTGAGAACAGAAACACACAGGGAATAGTAAGCCACCCGGGGCCTCATATTCAAGCCAACAGGTTAGACCTGGTTTGTTCTTTGCTAGAACAACACAGGGTCAGATCCCTCCTTTTTATTGCAGAAAGATCCCAACAGAAGCTAAAAGCTGGTCAGCTCTGGTTCCCTGGAGATTTATACATAATGATGAGTGATGATGACAGTTGCTCTGTGCTTAGTACATTATGTGACTGATCTCACTGAATTTTTGTAGCTACACAGTTCCATTTAACAGAGGAGGAAACCGAAGTCCAGAGAAATTAAGTGTCTCACTCAGAGTCACATGGATAAAAGGGACAGATTCAGAGCTAGAATTTATTTATTTATTTTTATCCCAGTCATCAACTGTATGAGGCAAAATGGAAAATTAGATAGAAACAATGGTCACGGAGCCGGGGAGATGGCTCAGTGAAATAAGCGCTTCCCTGGCAAGCGCAAGGGCCTGAGTTCAATCCCCGGTTCTGAAAAAAAAAAAAAAAAAAAATCAAAAACAATGGTCAGGTTTCTTCTTTCTCTTTGCGTATCTCATTTTATTGACGTATGTTCCTCTTGAGAGACTGTAGGATCAGTGCCCTGCTCACAATTCTACTTTTGGAAAGAAGTGAAACTAGAACTAGAGCCAGCCTCGATGGCCGGCTTTGGGGTTCTGGCTTCACTTCTTACACAATAGATAAAATACTGGGGTAAAGTTACTTCCTTGAGTCTCACTGGGCTCTTTGTATGCTCAAGCTGTGGCTGGGACATTTGGGTGGAAACAGAAAGGACGATGCAGGGGTGACTGCTGGTTACTACTAGAGAAATGCCAGTGTTGGGAGTTGTGTCCCGTGCCTTTCTTTCCCTCCTGTATGCAGAAGTCTCTTTCTGGGAACACACTTGGTGCCCAAGTGGATGCTTCTTTTGTCATTTGCTTCCAAATTAACAACAATCTTGATTGTTTTTCTTCCCCACATTTTCTAGGCCTCCCAAATGATTGTGTCCTATGACGAACATGATGTCAACAACACGTTCAAATTTGGGGTCATTTATCAGAAAGCCAGGCAGGTAAGCACCGTGAATCCAAGTCAGTGACTGTCCCCTGTGGTGTCTCACTGAGGACTCCTTATCTTTCTGTCCTAAGTGCAGAATCCCTGAGCTGTATTCTTAAATAATTTAAATACAGTGGTCACATTTAAGTATGAATTAGACTGGGGGTGGCAGGATCTTCAAGGAAGGTTACTTCTTACAAAAAAGCCTGTAAGCTTTTTAAATGGTAGTATAGTTTTTAAACTGTAGAGTCTGATGATTTCTAGTTATCTTAGTGAAATTTAATTCTTCCTGATTATCTGAACTTACATTTATCTGTGACATATAGGTCACTAAAAAAAATTAAGTTGAGTGGTCAGATTGACATAAGCTACTTTTTAAATTCTTCCATTCTCCCAGCCAGGAGTTAGCTTTTTCTCCCCAAAATTCAACAGGGTGCTGGAGCTGACTGGGTGTGTTTCCCTAACTTAGTATTCACTGTCATCATGTAATGGCTTGAAATCAGCCATAGAGTATTTATACTATGAAAATGGACAAACACGAGTTTCTGTTTCCTGCCTTATAGAGCTAGGTGTTAGAGTTACTTTTAAAAAAATTGTTTTGAATTTTTTATTTATTTGGTACAGGGTCTCGCTGTGCAGCTCAGACTAGTAGTGATCCTCCTGTCTCAGCCTTCCCTGTGCTAGGATTATAGGCATGTGCCACTACACACAGTTTTGCTGTTCTAGCATAGTGCTCCCAAGGTTCCAGGGCTGGCATAGTATGCAGTACTGGGGATTGAACCCAGGTCCTTGTGCTTGGCCATGCAGGTGCTTAGACCGCTTAGCTGTCTCCCCAGCCCCTAGAGTCATTTTTTAAAGGATTTACCAGCACAGCTCCTCTCCTCTGTCTCTTGTAGTACTACTACTGTATTTAAGAATTAAGCCTTAGAGTTAGCTAACCAAAACAATGGTTCTTTAAAAAGAGTGTGCACAGGAAAGGAAGAAGTCATGGTGTCATGATATGTAGATGACATATTCCTTTATATAGAAGATTCAAAAAACTCTATTAAATGACTCCTAGAATCAACCACTAAATTCAGCAATATAACAGGTTATAAAGTCAGCACACAGAAATCAGTAACATTCTCTGTAATAAGGAACTTACAGTGAAATAGTACCATTCACAGTAGCATCAAGAAAAATTAAGCACATAGAAATGACCTAACCAAGAAAGTGAGAGGCTTCTCTAATGAAAACTATAGTACTCTGAAAAGAGATCAAAGAGGTTATCAGAAAATGGAAAGCTGTACCCTATACCTGAATAGGCAGAACCAACATTGCCAAAATGGCCATACTGCCAAAACTGGTATGTAGATTTAATGCAATCCCAATTAAAATACCAACAGCATTCCTCACAGAACTAGAAAAAACTGTCTTAAAATTTATATGGAACCAGAAGGGACCCAGAATAGCAAAAGCAATCATGGGCAACAAAAACAAAGCAGGAAGTGGGATCACCATCCTAGAGTTTCAGCCAGGGATATAGCTCAGCAGCATAATCACCTGCCTGGCAAGAGCAAAGTCCTCAGTTTGATCTCTGGTACCACAAAAAAGAAAACAAACAAACAAACAAAAAGGCCAGTGAGATAGCTCAGCAGACTACACGCCTGCATTGGCAAGCACAGGGACCAGGGTTCAATCCCCAGTTCTGTATATTGTGCCAGCCTTGCCCCCTGGGGCACACTGAGTGGGGAATGAGTCTGGGCGTGGTGGTGCACCCCTGTAATCCCAGCACTGGGGAGGCTGAAAACAGGAAGATCACTACAAGTCCAAGCTGCATAGTGAGAAAGTGTACAGAATACATTAAAAACAAAACAGAACAGAACAAAAAACAAGGGGCTGGGGAGATGGCTTAGTGGAATAAGCACTTCCCTGGCAAGCTCAAGGGCCTGAGTTCAATCCCTGGTTCTGCCGAAACAACAACAACAACAACAACAACAACAACAACAACAACAACAACAAAACATTTCTTTTTTTTTTAAAAAAACAACCCAAAACAGCATGGTACTGGCACAAAAATAGACATGCAGATCAGTGGAACCGAATACAAGATGAAGAAATAACTGTATGCACGTGAAGCCATCTGAGAGTTGACAAAGGAGAGGGAGCCAAAAGCATATGCTGGAGAAAAGATAGCCTCTTTAGCATAAGCAGAAGGTTGCATCTAGGCCGTATCTGTTTATCCCCCTGTACCATATCTGTCGCTATGTACCAAAATAAAATGAATCAAAGACATAAATATTAAAACAGAAGCAGCCTGCTGGGAAATAGGTAAAACTTTTGAAGATATCGGCACAAGAAAAGACTTTAAGTAGAACTCCAATTGCACAAGAAATAGCATCAAAAATCAACAAATGGTGTTAAATTAAAAAGCTTCTGCACAGCAAAGGAAACAATCAATAGACGAAAGAGACAACCTACAGAATGAGAAAAAATTTTTACCAGCTAGTCTTCTACCAGGACTAGTACCTAGAATATACAAAAAATTCAAAAGGATCAGCCCACTTAAAATGAAAAACCCAATCAAAAAAAGGTAGCTGAAATGAACAGACCCTTCTCAGAAGTATGAGTGGCCAGTAAACACAGGAAAAAATGCTCAACACCTCTGGCCATTAGAGAAATGTAATATCTTACTCCAGAAAGAATGACTGTCATCAGACAATCAGACAGTAGCAAATGCTGGGGAGCCTTCTGCATTGGTGGTGGGAATGCAAACTTGTACAACCACTATGGAAATAAGATTCCTAAAAAAATGAAAAGCAGAAATTCCGTTCAATCGAGTCTATTGCCTTCCTTCGTTACCTTCCCAAAGGAGTTAGACATCATACCACAGTGATACATGTAAACACATTTATAGCGGCACAACTTTTAATGGCTAAATCTTGGAAGTGGCCTATATATTCAACAGCGTTGAATGGATGAAGAAAATGCGGTGTCTATACACTGTGGAGCTCTGTGCCACTTAAAAAAGGTTAAATTTGAGTCTCTTTTAGGGAAATGGACCACAGTGTCTGGAGACCATAATGCTGTGTGGAATAAATTAGACACACAAGCATAAATACTGCATAACTTAATACGAGAAACTCTAAGTACAAATAATTTAGAAAACAAAGTGAAAAAAAAAGGCAAGAGGAAACAAAGATATTGCAAATGGGAAGATCTAGAAATGGAGGGAGGTTGCAAGGATGGGAGGGAAAGGGGGAGAAAAGAATCTATTTGTTAAATACATGTACCTACTCCCAACGACATTATGTCCTGCAAATGTGTACTAATAAAATATATTAAAACCTCAAAATATTATTTCTCAAAGTGTGTTTCCATGAGATATTTGCCTGGCAAGCTATTCTGTAAGCTGATGACTTGGGGAAGGGGTGTCGGTGGTGTAGAAACATCTTAAAGGCATTTAAGAATCCCAAAGGGACCCTGTCTTTATTTTTATTAAACTCAATGTTTTCCATATTTATTTGTCAGTGGGCTCCCCATCTTCCCTGTCCCTCTTTTCTACCACAAACACTAGCATCATAGCACAGTGCTCAGCGGAACACACCCATGTCTCCTCATGCCATGAGAAGACTCTTCCACACCCATTTCATCTTCATATTATTCCGGAGCCTGCGTGGCAACTTGAGATAAACACACTCAGTTGTTATATGAATTAATGAATGAATGGAAATTTTTGCCCTGCTAATGACAGGTCAGTAGTGTTGTCCAATGTTATCTGTGTTTTTTTTCTTTTTTCTGCACAACAGTGTCGTTCTTGGCCAGATAATAGCTGCTGTCCTTGTCCAAAGATAACTAGACCATAAGGAACACACATTTGCTGAAAAACACTCTAATTATGTGAAGAGTTTAGTATCAGAAAGACCAACACTGGGTGAATCTTATAATTTAAGGGAGATTATTCAGGTAGTCACTAATTATTTTCACATACTACATTTTGATTTTGTACAGCTTGGCTGATATAACCCCTCCTAATTAAAGTTCTTTGCTTGTGAAATTTACTGAAACAGATCTCATAAAGCGATTACAATCCACTGTTCCAGTGAATTTGTAATTACTGAGTATTAGCCATGTCTCAGAAGGAATCTGTGTATTGTTTATGTACCTGATGCTACTGTGGAGGGAAAAGCCAAGGAGATAAAATTATTATTATTATTTTTTTAAAACTGGGCAGATTGTTGTTTTGCAAACCTACAACTGGGGGGACATTTAAGAGGAGCATTTGTTACATAAAAACCCTGTGCTTGCCTTTGCATATAAATAAGCCTCACATAACTCTCCAGTTTGTCATGTACTGGGTTAGGCGCCATGGGGCATACAGTCATACCTAAGATCCACTCCCTGAATGCGTGCTCAGATCTAAGGCCTGTAGGAAAATAATAATGATGCTAATAATTCCAGGCTGGGTGTGAATCCTGGAAGAGAAGCGCACACCCTGGAACATACACCGGATTGTCTTCAGAGTGGAGATGTAGCTTGCTTGGGAAGTGCAGCTCTCCTACAGTTGCACCTCGTGACCTGGTGCAGACAGGGTGCTTGGCTACCATTGCTTGTGAAATTTACCAATGGGTTGTGAATTGTAGTGGCTTCGTGAATGAAGATCCTTTATGCTAAGGATCTGGGGTCAGTGAACTTTCTCTGTAAAGGATCACATGGTAGATTCTCTGGACTTTGTGGTCGTTGATTGTTCTAAGCACTTTTCTCTGCCTTCTAGAGCAAAAGCAGCCACAGGCAGAATGTGAATGAGTTGGCCTGGCTGCCTTCCAATAAATGTTTTATAAAAACACACAGCAGGTCAGAACTGGTCCAAAGGCCATAGTTTTCAGACCCCTAGGAGAAAGCAGTATTTTCTGAACTTCAGACATCCATACTCAACTGTCATGGTTTGTGTCTAGGTGTCCTCCTTAAAGCCTCATGCAGTCACTGGGGCAGGCTTCTAGAGTTTGTGATTAATTCATGATCCAATGCTGGGATTATGGGTGTGGGGGCTACATCAGGCCTGGGGCGGACAGCCTGAATACCATACGAGGAAGGGAGAGGGGCTTGCTAGCTGCTACAGCCACTGCTCCTCCCTTTGCTCTTTGTTGTTTTTCTGCTGCCATGAGCTGCTGCCCTCTTCCATGCATTATTCTGCCTTGGAGCCAGCTGAGTAAGGACTGAAACCTCCACTAACTGTGAGCCAAAGAAACCTTTCCTTCCTTCATTTTGGGTGTGTTGAGTATTTTGTTCCAGCAACGAGAGAAAAGTAACCAAGACACCAACTTTCAAGATTTGTGTCATAATGCTTGTTCCACCATAGGGCGCTGGTAGCAGTTTTTGTCACAGCTGTACTATTAACTACTAGATACTTTCTAAAAAAACTTAAATAGATTTATTTAACTAATTAATTTAGTTCATTGCACTGGTGATGGAAAGCAGGGCTTTGTGCATACTAGGCAAGTACTCCGACACAGAGCTCCCTCCCCTAGTCCCTAGCCTAGTGCATTTATTTATAGGTACTAGTACCGCTAAGCTATATCCATGGTCCCAAGTAAATTTTAACTATATCATTCACCACAAAATGAAGGTATTCCTAAAAATAGAAAAGAAATATTAAAAACCAAACTGAAATGACTGAAATCTACTAGATTTTGTTGCTTGTGGAAGGTCTGGAAGCTGAGGTCTGCTTTCGTTATAAAGCAGGCGTAAGTGGGGCTAGATAGAGTGCATGGATGAGGCTCTGGGTTCAGTTTTCAGCATGGAAAGAAAAAAAAATGCAAGCCTTATATTGGAGCCTTTGTTCTTTATGATGGGACGCACAGGAATATTCCTGTGTGCAGCCATTCAGTTTCAGTCCGTGGATTTTTGCAGAGCGTTCCTGTGATTGCAGATCCTGATGCCATGGGTGGGGCTTGTTGATCAGAGAGGCTGGTCATTGTTGTCAATGTAGCACTGTTCACACAGATTGCTACTGTCATCAGTTTACCTTTCTGTGTGTTTTTTTTTTTTTTTTGTATTTAGGACAGGGTGTACAAGGTCTCACTGTGTAGATCGGACTTGTAGTGATCCTCCTGTTTACAGCTTCCCAAGTGCTGGGATTATAGGTGCGGGCCACCACACTCAGTCTCAATCACCATCTCAGTGTGCCCCGGGGGCGGGGCTAGCACAGCAGGCCAGGGGGGTCGAACTCCAAGCCCCTGCATCTGCCTAAGCAGGCGCTTTAATCTGCTGAGCTATTTGGCCGGCCCTTCCCTTTCTGTTTTAATTGTTAAACTTTTTGTTCTGGATATTTGTAAATTCACACATGGTTGTAATAAATAATACAGAGAGACCTCAGGTACCTTTTAGTTGCTTTTCTCCTCCAGGGTCATGTCTTGCAAAACTATAGCACAATCAGGATATTGATATTGATGCAATCCACAGGTACTTAGATTTCCTCAGTTTACAATGTACATTTCATTCAATGCCATTTTATCCATGTGTAGGTTCCATAATCAAGAAAGAAGAATTCCATTTCTAAAGACTGTCTTGTATTTTCCTTTTATAACCTCTCCATCTGCTGCCTTTTCTCCTTTCTTCCCTCCAGGCCCCAGCCCCTGGAAAACATTAATCTGTTATCCAACTTCAAAAACTTTGATTCGGAATGTTACATAAATGAAGTTGTGTAATATATAATTCTGGGAGTTTTTCGCCTGCTTTCCATCCACATTTGTATCACTAGTTACTTTTTGTTGCTGAATAATATTCCGTGGTGTGACTGTGCCAGTTCATTTAACCATTTATTCATTGATAGCCATTTGGGTTGTTTCCAGTTTTGAGTTATTCTTAGTTAAACTATTATGAATATTAATATGCAAGATTTGGTTGTATTTGAAACATTTATTTCTCTGGGATAAGTGTCTAGAAGTACAAATGCTGGCTCTATAGCAATTATATATTTAGTTTAGAAATTGCCAAAATCTTTTCTTGAGTGGTTATTCCCAGTGTCATTTTAAGAGTGACCTAGTTTTGTGGGCCAGGGAGATAGTTCAGCAGTTCACTGCCTTCCTGGCAAGCACAAGGTCCCAAGTTCGGTCCCTGGTGCTGAAAAAAAAAATGACCCAGTTTGTGTTTATCCTTAACAGATTTGGGATTGGCCCCACTTTTTTTTTTTTTTTTTTTTTAGCTATTTTGATAGATGTGTAGTGATATTTCATTATGGTTTTAATTTGCATATCTTTAATGGAAAAGGATGCTGAACATCTTTTCGTGTGGTTATTTGCCATCTGTATTTCCTCTTAGGTGAAATATCTTTTTGTGTCGGGTTTTTTTTTTTTTTTTTTTTTTTTGAGGAACTGGGGGTTGAACTCAGGCCCTTGGGCTTACCAGGGAAACGCTTATTCCACTGAGCCATCTCCCTGGCCCCTTTTTGTGTCTTTTGACCATATGCTAATTAAATAGTTTCCTTACTATTGTGTTGTAACTTTTTTTTTAAACAATTGCTTTATTGAGGTGTCTGTAATTCTCATGCCATGAGATTTTTAATACTCTATGAATTATGTCTCCATAAAGTGATTTGTAGTGAAATCACACAGTGATACAACAGTAATGACGAGATTCCAGAGCATCTGCCTCTCTCTCCGAAAGAAACTTCCTGCCATCACTGTCCCACCCCAGTCCCCTTAGCTCCTGGCAGCTACTCACCTACTTTCTTCCTCTGTAGGTTTGCATGTTCTGGGCCTCTTACAAATGCAAGCATATGATATGGGGCCTTTGGTTTTTGGCTTTGTTTATGTAACAAACTGTTTTCAGAGTTCATGTTGTAGCCCGTATCAGTATTTTGATCCTTGTGCGTGGCCAAATGTTCCATTGTGTGAATATGTCACATTTTAAAAATCCATCCACCAATTGTTGGACAGTTTGGGCTGTTTCCAATTTGAGGCTGTTATGCATCGTATTGCTATTAACATTTGTGTGCAGAATTTTGTGTGGACAGTTTTTAACTTTTCTGGGTATATACCTAAAAATGGAATTGCTGTGTTCTATGGAAACTGTTTAGCCTTTTAAGGCACTGCCAGACTATTTTCCATAGTAGGTGTACCATTTTGCATGCCCAGAAGCCATGTGTAAAGGTTCTGATTTCTCCACTTTCTCACCAACACTTGTTATTGTCTTTCTTTTTTATTATGCCTCTACTAGTGAGTATCATTATGATTTGATTACTGTACAGTTTTGGAGGTCTCCTTATCTTTCTATCAATATTGGGCTGTGGAGATAGCTCAGCAGTCGAAGCACCTGCCAGGCAAGCAGAAAGACCCAGGTTCAATCCCCAGTACCACATGCTGTGCCAGCCGTGGAGCCAGGCATAGTGGTGCACGCCTATAATCCAGTGCTGAGGTGTCTGAGACAGGAGGATCACTATGAGTCTGAGCTGCACAGTGAGACCCTGTAACAAAAGATTAACTGTCAATGTTTCATGTAAGGATTATGTTTCTGACATTAAGTATGAGAATGCTTGCTTCAGCTGTGCCTTTTGCACCAACCTTTGCTCAAATATCCCTCTTCAACAAGCCCTTAGGACCCAATTATGTTGAGTAATTCACCATAGTCAGAGTCTTTCCTCCAATCAAGGACAGCTATGGTGAATGGATTGAGAGCTAGGGAAAAAGGAAGAAAAGGACCCTATCTGGACAGCACTATTTATTTCCTTGGCACCAAGAAGATGTGTTCTCACTCTTGTACCATTCCTGTTTTTCTTTCAGACCCTAGAGGAGGAGCTATTTTGGAACAACGAGGAGAGCCCAGCTTTCAAGGAGTTCTTGGACCTGCTGGGGGACACAATCACACTGCAGGACTTTAAAGGGTGAGTTTTAGCAAGCGATGGCTGTGGCTCCATGGGTGAGGCGCTATAGCAAGGGCCAGTGGCAGAGAGTTCAGTCCTCAAGGAGGGCTTTGAGAATTCAAAACACATACATGGCATATAGGACTGTTTTTCAGTGTCTGATCAGCATTTCCTTACCGGCATTCCTGAAGAATCAGTGGTCCAGGGCATAATCCAACATGGCAGGTTGTCTGAAAGACATTGGCATTTAGCCTGCAGACTCTCGATGAGATTTCTCCTCCTGAGATTTGCCTTCCTAATTACGTTTGGCTCAGGCTCAGAGTAAAATGAGTCTACTTTCTGTCCCACTCACCTGCCAGGCAAAAGAGAACCTTATGTAGTTTGGAAGGAAATGACCTAATTTAGATAATACACAAGAAATGGGTAATTAAGAGTTCATGCAAATATAATGACCCCATAGGCAGGAATTCATGCAGCAGTCTGTTTTTCTTTAAGTGGACAGAAAGATAGAATATTGGGGCCATTTTGAGCTCTAGCACTGAAGGAAAAAGAGTGGAAAAAATGAGAGAATATTGGGGTGATCACTTAGAGGGCTTTGGCTCTTGGTTTGACTTCGGATCTGACTTGCCCCATGTGGCTGGCTCATGGCTGCTGTCCCTGGAATTCTCACCATCTCCTTCGCAACTTTGAGAGCTCACGTAAGAGGAGTTAGCATTATGTGTAAAAGTACCTAACCCAGCTGGGCATGGTGGTACATGCCTGCCATCCCTGCACTCTAGAAGACTAAGGCAAGAGGATGGAAAGTCTGAGCCCAGCCTGGGTGACTTAGTGGGACCTTGTATCAAAGGGTTGAGGCATGGGAGGAGTAGCTCAGTGTGAAGGCCTTGGCTTCAATCCCGGTACTGTGGGAAAAAAAAAAAAAAGTGCCTAACCTAGTTGCCTGGTAGGCAGTAGGTGTCAGTAATCACTTTCTCCCTCTGCTTCCTTCTCTCTCCTGCTTCCTTATCCTTTCTCCTTTCTCCTTTGCTCCTATCCTGTCCTCTCTTCCAAGTTACCACTGCTGTCTATAGAGTCAGTTGTACTTGGATTAAAATCCCTGCTTGGTCACTTACTGGCCCAACAGTTTTGGATAACTTTGCCTCAACTGGCCTACATTTTCTCATCTGTATAAAAGGAGATAAAAGATAATACTGAGCCCCAAAAGATGGTTAGAGGATTAAGATAGATTACGCACATGAAGCACTTCTGCTGGTGTCACGCATTGGTCTTTGTCATTGTGATCATTCTTGTTTTACTGTCATTGATTGACTTCAAGATGCCATCATTTGTAAGATGCATCTCAACTTGGGTGACATTAGAATGTGAAAAGTGTTGATGTTAGGATAGATAAAATATAGTCCATTCATCCCAGAGATTATGTAATCCAATCCTTTTATGCTATAGAGGAAGGACACCAAAGCCAAGAGAATTTAAGGGCCACAACCAAGGTCCTGTGCTGACTCAGGACCAGAAGCAGGGGTAGCTCCTGGAGTACCTGGCTGCCCATCCCATATCCTCTGTGCCATGCTGGGCTGAGCATGCTCCAGGCATGTGTTAAATGCTGGCATTCTGACATCCAGGATCCATCTTATTTCACTCCTCTTCTATAGCACTGGGCATTGAACCCGGGGCCTCCCATTTGCTAAGCTAGAGCTCTAGCACCAAGCAATGTTCCCAGCCCTTTTATGTTTTATTTTAAAATAGAGTCGCACAGACTGGCTTCAAACTTGCCATCCTTCTGCTCTGTCCTCCCAAATAGCTGGGATTATGGGTGTGTGGCACCATGCCGATCTATTTCATTTTCTGGAAGGAATCAGCATCTGCCTTTTCTTGGTCTTGCTGAAGACTGTGGTTGGGGGCTGGTGGCTGCGTCTCTGTAAAGGCAGAAAGGATGGATCCTGGAGGCCTCACCAGTTTTTTAGTGCTTTTATTTCTTGCCTGTGAGGAAGCACCTCCCCCAATACTCCACCTCAGTGCTGCTACAGTTAGGCCTCCACAGCAGGGACTAGCTGGGTGAAAGCAAAGCATCTGTCACCTGCCTGCCTGCCTTCAGGTACCCTGTGGGGCTCTCCAGTGTCTGGCAGGGTGGCTGGTTTCTCTGGCCATGGACAAGGCCTTGTAGAGAGCAAATGCCCAGGACCAGCTTGGGGAGTCACTGGCACATGAAGGGGCATCTGTCAGGAAAACCACATGACTGGTGGTATAGGGAACACAGGTGAGGCTTGAAGTAGAGGTTCTGCCTTTGACTCTGAAGAATGCCAGCTCCATAGCTAGGGCGCCAGGGCTGGTCTGCCCAGAACTCACTTCCTGCCTTCCCCATCTTGTGTTCTTGCCTGCTCTCAGCTCTGCTCTGTCCTGTCTTCCACCGCCTGCCGCACATCCCTCGAGAAGGTGCTACCATATTGCCCACTCCCCCTTACTCTTTCTCTCCTTGCTCCTGCCTAGTTTCCGAGGAGGCCTGGATGTGACCCATGGACAGACAGGGGTGGAGTCCGTGTACACTACATTTCGGGACCGGGAGATCATGTTTCATGTCTCTACCAAGCTGCCCTTCACTGAGGGCGATGCCCAGCAGGTAACCTGGTTGTGGGTGTTTTGGGAGCCTGGGGTTGGCAGGTGTAGCACTCCGGGACAGGGTGGAGCACACACTGAATAGGGCTCTGCCTCATTCGCACTTTGACCTTGGGAAACTGCAGCCCAGGGTGAGCAGTGAAAAGATGCCTTGAGGGCTGGGGTAGGGGTCTGTGGTAGGACACTTGCCTAGCATGCACGAGGCCCTGGGGTCCAGCTCAGCACCAAAAGAATAAAAACCACCTTGCTGTTACCAATTGATGAGGGCCTGAGCTGGGATGGGATCTAGGGGTGGAGAGTACATAGGGTGATGGTCAGGGTGCAAGACAGGGTTTATGGATGGAGCCTTGAAGCCATGGAACCATTTAGGGCTGTGTGATTCTGGGCAAAGTGGTTACCTTGTGGCCTCATTTTTCTTGTCTGTGGAATGGGGATATCAATACTTGTGTCAGCACTTGTTACAAGAGCTTCTACAATGAATGGGCGACATGTGGCTGGTTCCCATATAATAGCTGCTCCTGGGTCAGGCCACGAGTCATTTTGTCTCCCTGTGATTCAAGTGGCGTGAAGCTCTTATTGCAGGACAGTCCCCCACCCCCACCCCGCCGGTTGTCGCAGCCTCATCTCTGCCAGCGCCTGTCTGTTGGCAGGAACCGAGGCTGTCCCTGACCTGAGGACCCCGCATGGCTCCTGTGTCTGCTGCACCCCTGCTCTCTCCCCTATTTCGTCTTCCAGCCTTACACCATGCGTACTCCTGGGGAGGCCCAGGCTTTTCTGATCCTGGCAGCTGTGACGCTTCCTGCCTTTCTCCGCTTTTTGCCTCTTTCCTGTCTTTGGGAAAACAAGAGGGGCAAATGGCCTTTGCCCAAACTCTGACCTACTTGTTTCTGAAGAGGAGACGAGAGAGAGCAGAAGCATAAAACTGTAAATGCTGATTTACAGCTGACTTCTTAGGGGAAAAAGGAGACTGGCAAGCACAATGATGATTTGGCTCCTAAATAACTATTGTAGGTCTTAGAAACAAATCAGAGCAGGATCCCTTTTGTAGCCTGAAGTGGGTTTTCTCCCAATGGCTCACCTTTAGTCTCCGCCACCTCACTGTCCCCCTTACCTGCTGCCCCAGCACGTGGCTCATTCTCTCAGGGCCACTTCAGCCTGACCTATGTTAACTGGGAAGTATGCCTTGGCACAGAGCTTGGCTCTTGGCATGGACTGAATAAACATTTGCTTATTCAGAAATAAGGAGGATGTGTGTGCAGAAAGTGAGACGATCCTCATGAAGAGTGCCCAGTGGGGTGCTTACTGTACAGCAGATGCTTGGTGTGTGAGAAACTCAGCAGGAAAGAGCCAATGCTAGGGCTGCTTGCGGTGGGTGCTTAGTAGAGGAACAAATGCCCAGGCAGGAAGCCACCAGGACCTGGTGTGCAGGAGGGCTTTCACATTTAAAATCATAGCTGTGAACAGAATCACAGGATTCTCCATGCACAGTAGATGCTTGGTGGCTGAGGTTATGTGCAAAAGCTCCTGGTTCTGCTTGGGATAGTGAGTCAAGTCCAACCTGTCTTCCCCAGTCAGGTGACATGATCCTTTCTAAGCATGGCTCCTCTGTCCTTTGGTGGAACCATCCACCTCCTAGCTGCATCTTTGCTCATCCATATTCCCATCAGACTCCAGTATCCTCTTCCAGGAAGCCCTCTGAGCTGCTCTGATTTTGCCCTTCTCTTTGTTCCCAGAGCTGCCAGGTAGTTTATGTGTAGCAGCTGTCTTAGTGCCTGCTGGCTGGCAGCTTTGTTAGTGTTCTCAGGTGACTCCTCCTGTGTTTGTGTTCCTCTCAGATCAGTTACAGGCGCACTCAGGACAAGACCCAGTTCACCTTTTAAATATTTTCCTCAGGTCCTGAGTCAGCTTCCAGAGGAAGCTGTTGAATTCAGTGACATGCAACATGCTCACTAGCTGCTGCCTAACAACTTGGGCATCTTCTCCATTTTTTTCCTTCTTGGTAGCTTCTAAGGATTGAAAGAAGCAGCTCTCTGGAGATCTAGGTCTTAGAGTTCCAGGGTTTATATTCAAAGGCAATATAATGGGAGACTTTCCTGCACACATCTTTTCTATTTTCAGAATGTTCCTAACTAGATTGTAATAATAGGACATGTTTTGTTTAGCTACAGCGAAAGAGACACATTGGGAATGACATTGTGGCCATCATCTTCCAAGAAGAAAACACCCCATTTGTCCCAGATATGATTGCCTCCAATTTCTTACATGCCTACATAGTTGTGCAGGTGGAGAGCCCAGGCACAGAGATTCCATCCTACAAGGTAAGGAGGTCCCTTTGGAGGAAGCTGTGGGCCTAAGTACTGCCCCCACCTTGTGTGGTATTAAAGGATACTCGTCAACAGTTTTGGAGTTCCCATGAGTTGTGAGGTTCCTGGTATTTGGAGCTGTTCTCTTGGTAAAAAGCACTTTCCAAGGTTGTCTCATCTATCTTGCTGCCTCCAGGTTTGGTAGCATCTAGCTTGAGCATCCAGAAGTGCCAGGAGCCATAGGTAGACTCTGATGATGGCATTTGCTAGAGTAAGGCAGATCGGTAGGAGAGAAAGAAGAGAGAGTGGGATCAGGAAGGGGGGCAGGAGGAAGGGCAGGAGAAAACAAAGGGAAGAAAGACCAAGGGGAGTGTTTCTAGTCCAGAGAGGGGAAGAGGGCCTGGTAGACCCTAGCCCTGAGCAAGCCTATTGGTCTGGCTGTGCTAGACAGAGGAGAAATCTGTGTGAAGACTGCAGCGAGTTGAGGGAGGGATGCAGGCTTATGTTACTGTCCTGACCAGCGAGGTTCAGTTTTTCTGCCTACAACATGTGGGGAATAATTGACTAGGATGGAGAATAGTGATTAGTAAAGGTGGGGAAGAGTGTGGGAAGGGGCGGGTGGCTAAAAGGAGGTTGGATTTACTCAGTGGATGTGGTACACATGTGTGGAAATAGCACCCAGAACCCCATTAGTATGTATAACACGTGTGTTTCTTTTTAAAAGAAATAGAAACGGGGGAATATATATATATATATATATATATATATATATAGTGAGTTAGATAGTTTGCATGAAAGTGCTCATCAGATGAACTCATAGTCTCACTGCTTCTGATGAGCCAGACGCAGAGCCAGAGCATCCTCCTGTCCTGGCAGTGCCTGCCAGCCCATTCCTGATGGCTGGGCCCTAACCTTCTCTGACTCTTGTCCACCAGGGGCAACCCTGAGCTTTGGAGCAGCAGGTTTTCTGTGGCACTGTGGACTGAGGGACAGAGAACCAAGGGAGATAAGCTGAGGCAGGGTTTATAAGGCAAATATTAAGTAGCCGCTGGCCCCTTAAAGATAGGTACCAAATGCCGAATTTCTGTACTTCTTTTGTGTTGCCTGGGTAGAGGGGCCAGAATTGAAATTCTCAAAGGGCTTCCTGGTGCATAAATTGTTGGAAACTACCATTCTATGATTCTATAAGGGAAGAGAAATGAACCTGTTATTGCTAATGGGAGACAAGTAGGCCTGGAAATACTTCTTGGATAACAACTTAGGCCCAGGCTGATTCCTGGTGTTTTCTAAGTAATAATACTTCATGGCCATATTTAAATAACCATTTTGGTATTGTTTATTTATGTTACTCTTAAATGAGTGCAAACTTAGATGTTTTCCATACTATATCAAGTTTTAAGTGTGAGATTTAAAAAATAAAAACAAAAACCATCCCAACAAACCCCTCCTGTTGAGGTGAGCTGATTTCTTTGCACACCTATCTTTGTGTCCCTCTGGCATTGAACAGCCTTAGGGGTCACTGGGTTGGGCCAGCGTGGCCATTCACTTCATGGCTGTTTGGTTAATTCATTGGTAGGAGCGGCAAGTTTCCTCATCCATTGCCTCCTGTGTTCTATACATCATGCGGGGAAAGAAAGAAGGGACATATAGAATTGATCGATGGATCCTTGCTAACCTCAGAGAAGGGGCAGAGGAGCCAGCCACTGGGCAGCACAAATAGTCACCTTATTCTTTTAACAGTTTAGAGAGCTGGGAGTGCTTGTGCATGCTTGTAATCCCTGCACTCGGGAGGCTGGAGCATCGCCCTGAGTTTGAGGCCAGCCTGGCTATATAAATCATTCAAGGCCAGCCTGAACTACATAGTAAGACCCTGTCACAAAACAAAACAGTCCCCTCCCCAGCCCCCTAAAAAACAATATAAAAAGGAGCTACTGAGAAGGAACCCTGAAGTAAAGTGGGGTGATAGGAGGACTCTTAGGCCATGCCATGCTTGGCTTGCCTGATGATAGAATGAGGGTTCTTGTGCACATTTAGGGTTTGCCTTTTGTTCCTTAGAGGAAATGGATCTCAGCTAACTGGTCTCTGCAGTTTGCCAGGAGTTTAGCAGAGGGCTGACCCCATTTAGAGAAATAGCGGGGCTCCAAAAAGCACTACTCAGTTTTAGCTTTAATGCTGAAAATCTAGTCTGCCAAAGAAGCTGTGGTCTGGAGACTGGGGCAAAGAATTGTCCTCAGAGAGGTGATGAGGAGCAGCAGAGCAGCGCTGAGTCCTCAGGACATGGGATCTTGGCCTTGTACCCCACCTGGCAGGCAGGCACCTGGGGAGGGGCAGAGCAGCAGTGGGCAGCATTTGAGACCAGCCTTCAAAGGCATCTCCCAAGTGCCCCACCCCAGCAGTATCCTAGGTGATCACGTGAAGGCTTGAGAAGGATCTGGTCAAATCCCTCAGGGATCCCAGTGAAAGCAGACCTTAGCACACCAACTTTAAGCTAGGATTTCCCCAGGGCTGAGCTGGGTCAGAGAACAACAGAAAGGAGAGATGGGGATGGAATCTGTAGTGAAGGGCCTTAGACAGCCCAGTCCTAACCCTACCTCTGACCTTCTGCGACCCCGAGGACCCAGTTCCTTCCCTCTCAGGGCCTCAGTTTCTGTGGGTGTGAAATGAGGAAGCTAGCAGGGATTACCCGTGTGCTCCTTCCAGCCTGACATCTTGCTGAGGGGGAAGGAAGAGTTGAGACAGAGTGTTGTGTGCACGCAGGTAATTGTGAACTGGTTTGGGGGCCGTGCTGTATCTTAGGTGCTTTTTAAAGTGCAGATCAGCAGGGAATGTTAACAAGGTGATGGGTTTTGTCCCTTGCTTGAGCTGGGCACTGTTAGAAGCACAGTCTTCTTGAATCCTCACAGCCCTGGTGAGCCCTGTTGTTACAGAGAGGACATTGAATCTGAGAGCTTAGGTCGTGGAAGGCATGAGGCCACAGAGCCAGGCAGCCTGGCAGCCATGCAGCTGGAATTCCTGCTCAGGTCAGCCCATGGCATCATGGGAGCAGGTGGTAAATGGGCTGTACAAACCCAGGTGTGCAGGAAATACCACATTAGATTGTTTCTCAAGTAGGAATTTAGTCCCTGTCTGGACCAGTTAGAAGAAAATTCAGTTGGTCCATCACTAGGACTCCTCCTTTCCCATCTTGGGGTTTCACCCTACCTTGTTCCCAAGGTCCTGCCAAGGTTTCAGGATTCTTCTGTGAAGCAGACTCATGGGGACAAGAGGGCCCTCCCACTTTTCACTGTAACTCCTGTGTCACTTAGACAACCCTCCGTGGTCCTCTGTCTTGATAGGCCACACCTGGACTTGGGGCCGCAGTCAGATTTCTAGCATTCCCCTCCCAGGCACATCCTCAGGGCCCCATGCCCAAGTTCCTTCCGCTTCCCGGCCAATAAGATGTTCTTCCTGAAGAGCACCTGCTGCCAACGCTCCCTCTGAGTCCTTTCTGGATTTAGAAACAGGAAGGTGGGGGGCTGTGTTAGGGCAACTTCTGCTTTCAGAAGCAATCTGAACATCCCCCAAAGGAAGGAGCAAAGGCCTGGCTGCCTCACTGGAACCGGGTCAGAAGGGGGAACAGGACAGGGGTGGAAGATGAATGGATATCATCTAGGAGTTGGCCCCAGGTCCCTGCATTCCTGATGAGCTGCTGCAGTGGGATCATCTGGCCAGAAGACTGCCTGGATTTAAGGGTGGCTCTGAAGCCACTTACCCTGTCGGCACAGCCCACTGTCATGCAGGCCTTAGGAGGGAGTGGGTGGGTGGAGGAAACAGCTGGGCACATTCCTGTCCTTTGTCCCAGGTGTCCCAGATGCCTGTGGTCATTGGCTCTTAGCAGCCCACCCCACTCCCAATTCTGGCTCCATGGGTAGAATTCTTGCCATGGGCCCTCAGTGCACAGTGGGTGGCGGAGGGGAACCGCATTCAGCAGCTGGAGCCCAGCCAGAAATCCCGTCAGCCAACACACACCATTTTCTGAGTCTGGGCACTGCAGTTTGCGCTGTGTAGACAGCCTTGAGCTTGGGGAGAGAAAGGCCGTATTGACCAACTCTCTCCCGCTTCCTCCCCTCTGGACCCTGGCAGGGCCTTGCCTTGGCTCTGCTCCAGAGGGGCTGCCTGCTCACCCGGTCTGGCAGGCTCTCTTCATTGCCCCACTTCACAGGCCAGGGAGGCTGGCAGCAGGCCAGGGCCTAGTCACGTCAGCAGCTGCTGGGGGAAGGGAGCGGGCAGTGTTCTGAGAACCTCGCAGCCTCATGGAGCAGATGAAGTGAGGGCACTTCCATACAGAGAGGAGGTGAGGTAGGGGCTGTGCCTAGCCTGGGTGACCCCCACAGGCAGCACCTCTCACTCCACCGCTCAGTCGTGCTGGCCCCTGCCTTGATGCCCCGCACCCTTACACCCCAGTCCAGACCCTGGAGCTCTGTTAGTCAAACCCAAGCCAGATTGGCCAACCCTGTATATGGGATGAGGCCCCTGGACACTGGTTCCCTGACTGTACAAAACCTCTCAGGAGCCCAGAGTTTTCCATGCAATTAGTATTTATTTTTTAAATGTTGGAAGTAAGACTGATGCGTGGTCAGGTTCAGAAGTCAGTGTAGTAGGGAAAGAACCCCAGAGCTGGAACAGGAGAGGCCTGCATTCTCTGTTCTCCTCTGTGGCAGTCACCTGCATGACTGTGTGGGCTCACTCTGTGGCTCTGGGCATCCATCTCCTCATCAGGAAATAAGGATGATCATAATCTTGTGCCTTCTCTGGGACTAACATCATGATCATATGAGGTAGTAAAATAGCCCCTGGGCAAGTGCACTGTGCCTTTACCAGCATCCTGGCTGTTTCTTGCCATCTTGCTTCTGGCCTCTAGGTAGGCAAAGGAGAGGATGCAGACAGTGCTATAGCAGCCAGCCCCACTTCCAGGAGCAGTGGCTCAGGGCCGGTGCCGGCGATGCTCACAGGGACGTTTTCCTTGGATTATGGGGAGCGGGTGGGGAAGAAGGTGAATAGATTTGCCACAAGAGGGGCATTTTCCTTCTGATCCACATGTGATTATTTCGTTTAGGTCTCTGTCACTGCAAGAGAAGATGTGCCTGCCTTTGGTCCCCCTCTGCCCAACCCCCCTATTTTCCAGAAGGTAAGAAACTTCTACTCCTCTCCCAAGACCGGAGGCTTCCATATTTAAATATAGTGTTTGGCTGGGAACATTAGGATGGCCCTTTGGCAGATTTTTTCTTTGGTGGGGAGGGGATCTCTTTGCTCTGTCTCTATACCTCTCCTCATGCTTCCAGTCTGGCCCAACAGAAAGGCCACTGTGGAGGGGTGTTTGAAGCTGGGTTGCCTTCCTGTGAAAGGAAGGATTTTAATGCCATGCCCCTCCATGGAGCCATGGGCAAATACTTCCTCTGGTCATGGAGATGCCACTATGGAGGGGTGATTTCTCAGGACCAGTGAAGCTTGGTTCCATGTTGGTGTATTAGCAGGGACCCCTGGCCTGGGTGAAAAATAACCAAGTGACAAAGGCTGTGCCTGGACTGCCTGTTCTGCCCTTCTGTTACTGTGGCTTATGCCTTTTGGCATAAGTAAAGGGTGGGAGAGTTCTGGGGTATCTTGTCTGTTGCAGGGCCCAGAGTTCAGGGAGTTTCTGCTCACCAAGCTCACCAATGCAGAGAATGCTTGCTGCAAGTCGGACAAGTTTGCTAAGCTGGAGGTGAGAGTGTGGGGGCTCTAGGTCTTCTTTTTCTAGAGTTTTCTAACCAGCCTCCCTTGGGGCTTGTTTCGGGGAGGGTTTTGCCTTGCTGATCCCTTGGCCCTGTGTTGATCATCCAGGTCTAGTTGACCATTCACCAACAATTCATTGAGTTCCACTGTGTGCCAAGCCTTGTTTTGTTCCCTAGCATATAGAATAAGTGAGATGATAGTAGAGTTCCCAGGCTAATGGAGGAGGCTTTATTGAAGAAGCAGTTTAATATAGCATTCCTGCCCTGGGTCATTATGGAGCCAATGCTGCTTAGAGGATAGTGTCTGCCTCTGCCTGGCAGGGGGAGACTGACAGTTCATTCAGGGAAGGCTTCTTGGAGGGTGTCTCAGTAACTGTTCATTCATTGCTGGGACAAAATATTCAACACACAAAATTAAGGAAGGAAAGGTTTGTTTAGCTTGTAGTATGTGGAGGTTTCAGTCCATATTCCACTGACTCCAAGGCAGAGTAGCACATGGCAGAGAGCAGCCATTGCTGGCTGCAGAAAACAGTGAAGAGCAAAGGGCAGGGCAGCAGCTGCAGCTTCTCTTGCCTCCTTATATTATAAGCAGGTTACCTTGCGGTGTACATGTAGAACTCACACTGTGTCCAATCCCTCCTTTTGTACAGCATGAGGTGTCAGCCAGTACAGAGGGGATGGGTTTTGATATGCTCAATCTTGATGTCCAGTGCAGCTTTTAGAAAGAAAGGATGGAGGAAGGTTATTTCCGGCATGGTAATAGCATGAACAGAGGCCAGACTGAATCAGAGATGGCTCCATGCGGGAGCTCCTGAGCATGTGTTATGGCCCAATAGAAGGCTTCACAGGGACCTGGAGGGCTGGAGGCTCAGATGCAGCAGGGGGCTTGGTGCAGATGAAGAAGGCCTATGAGTTGAAGGCCTTTACAGTTCTTAGGTGAGACAGTGTTTTGTGTGCTAGAAGGATTATTCAGCAATAGAGAGAACAGGTTGAAGGGGAGGAAAAGCAGGGAGGGTGGCCAGTTAGAAGCAATTAACAGGTGCCTAGGAGAGAAAATGAAGGCTTACAGGAGTTAAGATATGATCGACCCTGGGGACAAGTGGAATTTCAGGGAATTTGTGGACTTTTGGCTTGGGCTGTGGTGACCTGGAGATGGCTGGGGGACAGTTCTGTTAGCACCTGCTTTTCTGGGGTGTCTGCCAAGGCCCGGCTGCGGCAGTAGCTCTTGTTGGTCTGTGTGAATGGTGGTCCCTGGAGGCTGCATGCATGGCCTTGGACAGACATCTGGCTGCAAAAGCTGTGCATGTGGAGCTTGGGCAGAGAATGGTGTGGTGGGGGTGTATGCGTCTGCCCTGGGTAAAGCCGCGTGTGTTGGGGGATGACCCAAAAAGAAGGCGCAGAGGAATGAGAGCAGAGGGCCAGGCATAGAGCATTTGTACTAACAGCAGCATTTGTGAGCATGAAGTCCAGTCTGGCTCTGGGTCTGCACTGTAGCAGAGATGTGGTAGGCAAGGAGGTGCATCTCTGCTGTCAGCACTAGCTTCTTTACTTCTACCCTCTTCCCTTCTAGGACCGGACCAGGGCTGCCCTCCTGGACAACCTTCATGATGACCTGCACATGCACACACAGGCCATGCTAGGCCTGGGCCCCGAGGAGGACAAGTTTGAGAATGGGGGTCATGGGGGCTTCCTGGAGTCTTTTAAGGTATGGATGTGGTAGTGATGGGTTGAGGGGGGTAGGACAAAGAAGGGAGGTGCCCTGAGGTCCCTGAGATCCCAAGCCTAGGCCAAGATAGGAGATGGGACTAGCAGGGACATCATAGGAGGGCCAGTCATAGGAGATGATGGGACTAGTAGGGACATCATAGGAGGGCCAGTCATAGGAGATGGGACTAGTAGGGACATCCCAGGTATTTGGAGAGGGCAGGGTGGTCAGGAGCATGAGAGCTTGGAACAACCAGCAGCATCTCTAGCATCCTCCACCTTCCTCCTTCTGGTCCAGAACTCTGATAAGCAGGGACCAGCAAGAGAGGAACCACAATGTCACTGCTATTGCTGCCTCTTTTCCATGGAGCCCAGGGCTGGGGGACAGGAACAAGGACAGAAGCCCTGGGGGTCCTCAGCAGCTCATATGGGATGCAGTAATTTATCCCACCTGGAAAGGTTCTGGTGACCTGGCTGTGTGGGTGCGTTAGAGCCACAGGCAAGTCCTTTTGGGGCTTTGCAAAGGTATTAAGAGAAACAGTGAGTGTCCTGTCCCTAAGTATTCATGAGGAGCATGGTCAGTGACAGACCTGGTGTGGGAGAGGACATTTGTCATGAGCTGGCTGAGTGCTTGTTGGTTCCACCGCACGTATATCCAGCGTCTGATTTGAATCTGGCAGTTGGCTGGGTGGTTATTTTATGTTATTTCCACTAACACATGCAGGAAGAGGCTGAGAGGCCACAGGATTTCTCAAGGCCTTAGGCCTTGTTTCAATCCAGGTTTGCAGATTCTTAGCTCAAAGTTCTCTGGATTGCCCATCAGAGAGTGGTTAATCAAGCTACCAGGTGGGGCCGTTGTGAGTAGGTTTAGGATTAGATCTTCCTGTTTTTGAATCCCAGCTCAGCATGGCCCCAGGCAAGGTCTTTAAAGTCTCTAAGCTACAGTTTTCTTGCTAATGACTTGGGGATGATAAATTTGCCTTCTGCCTCAGAGAATTCGCTGAAGTAGTGCCTGGAAAGTACATATTGCCTGCAAGGCAGTGAATGCTCCAAAGTGTTAGCTGTTATTGTATAAAGTGAGAATTTATACATTATCCTACTTTAAATCTCCCACTACCCTCAGTGTCCTATGGGGAAGGCTGTTATTATGGGTATAATACTCTTGGCATAATAATTCAGTCTTTTAATGATTATGGGCATAGTTTTACATGTGAAGAAACTAAAACTCAGAGTCTAAATAATTTGTCCCTAGTCACCCTGGAGACAGTTGAATTCAGGTCTTCCAGATTCCAGAGCTTGTGCTCTTAACAGCTATGTGATACTCCCTCCCAGTTTCTGACTCAGTTAAGATTCCACTCATGTTGGCCTGGGCCCAGAGAGGCCTGGTGTCAAGTCCTCATTGCCAGAGTGGATGGCTGAGAACAGGGCATGGCTCTAGTGGCCTCCTTGGAGCCAGCTCTTAAGATTACTTAGGAGGCTGAGATGGGGGAGCTGCTTGTCCAGGCTGATGGGGGATTCCTAGGGCATCTGTTCTAGTCCTGGTGAACAGTGGCATGCAGGGTGAAATAGAAGACATCTTTAGGGGATCAAAATACAAGAGGGATGAAGGAGAAAAGGAAGAGGGGAGGATGGCCAAGGTGAGAAGGGTAAATAGGAGACCTGGTGTAGGAAAATGGCTTGGGTATAAAGGAGGTTTTGGCCTCCGATGGAAGCTCCACCCCACTTCATATCAAGCATATCTTTTTTGGGGGGAGGTGCGGAATCAGGGATTGAACTCAGGCCCTTGCGCTTGCCAAGGAAGTGCTTATTCTACTGAGCCATCTCCTGGGCTCTTTTTTTCTTTTTTTCGTATCCAGCATATTGACTTGCTGAACATCCTACAGTAAATGTAATTTGTATAAAACTACTAGAGTTGAGTTGCATTGACTAGCGAACATAACAATCTTTGTACATATTTAATAAAGCATTTATTGCTTTTGAGTTTTGCATGTTTCATTTTGTATTTTGGAATTAATACCTTTTTCTTTTCAGTTTTTAAGTCTTTTTATAACTTGGAAAAGCTTGTAGGTTATGAATACTCTATCCATGATGTTCAGTGCATGTGGTATTCCAGCCACTAAAGGACAGTGGCCTGAAAGCATTTTTTTTTTTTTTTCTGAAAGGAGTGGCATTTGGCCTGTGTTGGACTCTAGCATGTGTGACATGCTCCTGAAGGGCTTTTCTAGAGAGGAGTTGCTTGAGGCTTTATCATAACCCATCTTGGAGCCAATAATCCAGGGAATTCTTCTTTTCAAACCTAAAATCTCATAACTGGAGGTTTAAGATAGGCCCATTTCTCCATTTGGCGGGCATACCAGCCTCCAAGGCCATGCTGTGGGGGGTGGCGAGGACTGTCACAGTCAGTCACACAGAGAAAGCCATCAGAGTGCTAGTGATTATGATCAGCTCTTTTCTCCTCCCAGCTGGGGAACACACGTTCTCTTGCCTCTGTACCTGTCAGAATTGCCTTCACATCTCCTGTGTGGCGAGACCTGAGATGGGGCAGGCCAGGTTCTGGCCCAGCTCAGGAAGCCACCTCTAGCTTTGTTTCTTCTTCATCTTCTCTTCATGGGCATCTTGTGTAGAGCTATTGGGCCAGAGTTTTTGACATTCCTTAGAGTTCACCCAGAAACCCACAGGGCTCCTCTTGAAGTGGTACCAGAAATGATTCTAGGAAGGAAACTTTTGCTTTTTTTCTCCTTCCTGTCAAAGTCCTTATCTCACAGGCAGCAGGGCAGATGATAGAGAATTCTGAGGGCTGAAAGCCATGGCAACCATCCATCTTTTCTCATCTCCTGAGACTGCTTATCTCCTTCCAAGGGGCCTGTGACCCTTTGTATCCCAAGGAGGAGGCTCTCCATGGCTCCTGGTTGTGCTGCCTGATACCTCATGCCATGTGGAGGACTTCCTCCCATTTCACCTAAGTTCCACAGGCTGTAATCAGAGTTTTTCCTCCATAAGACGTGGACCTGTTGGTTTGCCCATGTCTAGACCTGCTCTTCAGAGTGGTCTGCTTGTGGGGATTCTTGGGAAACTGCTGGTTGTACCAACACCTTTAAAGTTTGCATTTGCCATTAGATGATAATCTTAAAAATATATAGATCTTCAGTGATAAAGACTAAACTTTTGCTGTGGTGACTCATGATTAAAAGATGTTTGTATGGGATAAGTAGCTAGAGCTCATGGTGGATGTGGGTGTGTGTGTGGGGGTCTGTGGTCATCTTCTTGAGAGTTTTCTTTATAAAGGAGCTGTCAGTCGCTCATCTTTGGAAGGTATTGATCTCTAGAATATTGTTCTGAAATGCTGTTCTCAGCTCCTGCCAGCTGTTCACCAAGTTTTTACTGGTCTGTATGAAAAAGTGACAATGCATGTTGTATCCGTACAGTACGGTCATAAAGCACATGTGTACCATGTATTTAGAAACATTGAAGGTGCTCAGGTCTGTATTGACCTCATTATATAGGGATGGGAATGGAGGACAAGGACAAGGGAAGACAAAACTGGATAATTTCCAGCTATTATTACAGCAAACTGCATAATTTACCCCAGCCTTTGAGAGACTATGATAGTTGATGTGTTGATCCGACCTGACCCCTAGTGGCAGAAAAGGCCACAGACATCGCTGGCAGGTGGAGGCAACCCAAGCAGTGCCTGTGATGGTGGATAGAGTCCAGCAAGCTGGCAGAATCCCTAACCTTTGGCATCCTTGCTCCCTTCTTTTTCTCCTGAGACAGGGAGGTGTAGATCTGGAACGGCTCCACTGCCTTTGGGGTTGGAGTGCTAGTTGAGGCCTCGTACTTTATGCTGCTCAGAGTCATGGTCCGTGCGATTATAACTATCACCGTCTGGCTCATATTTGCCCTGCTAGAGTGCCAGACCTCATGTCCTCCCAGATTGGAGCATCTCAGCAGACAGGAAATTCACACCTTTGTCTTCAATAGTGCCTGCCGCCCTTACTTACTTGCCTGATTCTGATAGGCATGTCCCCTTTGGGGTCCATCTCCTTGAATTTCCTCCCTTGAGCTGAGTTTGTTAAATTGAGATGACTCAGAAACCCACTTGTAAGGAGATGAGTAGTGTGGTTGGTAAGGAAGAGAATTACTCCCTGCATGGTATTAACTGGTGCTCAAACTTGGGATGAAGATAAGGCAACATATGTAGGTAATGAGAAAGTGATGCTGTCTCCCTCATCTCATGTCCTCAGAGAAGAGCTTATTCAGAGGCAAACAGTAAGGTACGATGAGGGCTGGGAGACCATGGTGGCTGAGGAAGGCTGATGGAGCCAGGAGCTCCTTAAGTAAGCTAGGAGGACAGCAGAGTCTGAGGACAGCAAGAAACAGTCTTACAAAATAATTGAGTAGACTGGCTCAAGAAGTGTAGAAATTTAAGTGAGATTTCAGCTTGCTAACCAGAAAGGTCTGCTGCCAACCAATAGAGCAGCAGCCTCGAAGGCAGGGAGCATTCTATTCCTGGATGATGTGAGCAGAGGGCAGATGCAATTTCCAGGGAGAGTCAAGGGTCCAAGGACAGTCCCTGGGGCCACTGGACACCTCTTGCAGCCAGCACAGAGGCTTCATAAGCCTGTCTGTGCTCCTGTTTTTCTTTTCCATCACTATTACTCTCCTTTCTCTTCTTCCTGGCCCAGCTGCCAGTGCTTTGGTGCAGTTGCCCATTAGGTTGAAATGTGAAAGTGGGCAGCTTTAGCCACATCAGGTATTACTTTTAGAGCTGAGAGCTGTCACTTTGCTAACTAAGGTAGGGAGCAGGAGTCCTGACCCTGAGTGGGAAGGTCTCATGCCAGGTGTTGCATACACATTGTGTCCTGTCATCCTCCTGGCACCTTCTCCATCACCACCCTGTACAAACGTGTCTCAGAGGCTCACCTACTGAGCAATGAGAGGACTAGGATTCAGACCTTTCCTGTTTCCTCAATCAGCAGACAGCCATCATGCTCATTCCCAGAATTCCCCACTTTCTCCTCACACCTCACTGATTCTGACAACAGAACCAAGGGCATTTGAAGAGCTGTTGCCCTCCTTGACATCAGCCTCTGAGGTTCAGTTTTGAGGGGAGTCTTTGAAGCTTCCTGGTTTCTAGTCAACATTAATTCACTAGAGGTTTCTATTATAGTTTCAATCTGAATGATTTTTGGGGACTGCAGGAATCCTTTCATCTCAAGCCCAGGGTCCTAGATCACTCTCCATCTCTTACCTGCTTTGTGGCCTTGGGCCATCATTTATTTAACCTTTGAAACCTTTTCTTATCTCTCTTCTCTGTACCTCACCCTCAGTAAGGGCTCAGTAAGATCATGTCTGTGAAGCTCATCGGACTAGATACAACTCACAGGGTTTATTACATCCATTGAATCCATTCTGGGACAGAGACAGCGAGGACTTTATCAGAATGTAAGTGAAGAGTTGAAGGTAGAGCTGTGGCTGAATGGTCTTGATTTTATCCCTAGCACTGCAAACAACGAAAAGTTTCACTTTCATTTGAACTGTCACTTTTGATGATGATGGTGGTGATGGCAACACGTGAGGCGCCAGTGGTGTATAAAGATGCTGAGGTGGATGATGTTGTTCAGGGACACGCCAGTGTGCTGCCACATCTTTTGGCCCTCGGTTTTGCAGAGGTTATATGACTTTATAGTGCTTAGGCTGTGACAGGAATTGAATGCAGTTCCATAACATGGGACTCTGTTGCTAGGTGCTGTGTGGAATAAGTAGATAAGGCACAAAATCAGCACTGGAAGTGGAGCCCAACTGTTCTGTGATGAAGAATGGGGGAGAGTTGATGTCTTTCTAGGGACACATTTGACTCAGTGAGGAGGGGCCAGATGATAGCAGGGTACATGGATGGCAGACTCTGTGCCTCAGTCTCCACACCTTGTTTCAGGCGTTGCCATTTTACAGATGCTCTTCCTGAGTCTGCTTTTCTTGTCAGTGCAGAAGGGCAGGCAGGTTGTTCCCAAGGTGGGAGAGGTCCTGGTGTACTGGGTGAGTGTGGGGTCTAAGTCCAGGAAGGAAGGGACCAGGCTGTGACTCAGTCCTTCACGTCAGGGTCTTGAGAATACCATCCCTGATGGCTGCTGTGGGTTCGAGTGCATCTGTTTGGGAAATCATGGTGGAAGCCTCTTCCCAAGGCCTCCAACAGATATTCCCTCACATTCCACTGACCACACGCTGTATTAAGGGACAGCCTTAGGCTGAACATAGGTTATTCCTGTGTTGCACGGAGAATAGACCAGTTCTGCCAGCAAGGAGAGCCTGTGGCAAAGGGTGCTTATACATGGACCATTAATAATGTCTGTGTCCAGAAGTTCTTGCTCTTAGGGGCCCTGAACAGCTAATTAACACAGAGCATCCCCAAGAGGTGTTGGGTCTTATTTCACTGCTCAGGACTCTATCTTCTGTGCTTCTTGGGGGTAGGGTCACATCTTATGCTTCTTTGGCTTCTGGACTGAAGTTCTGGTTCCTGGCATGGGAAGCGTGTAACAAATGCTTGTTATTATTAGAAAGAATACCTGGATTTATTAGGTTTTTGCAGTGCACTGGGCTCACTGTCTCCTAACAGCATCATATGTATTGTCATGACAGTCCCATGGTGTAGACATCCTCCATCCTATTTCACAGATACATCTCAGAGAAACTAAGTAACCTCACCAGGGTACCTAGCTAGTGAGTAAGGGAGGAGAGACCCTAGGTAGGTCTCAATCTTGGCAGTGCAACCCTAAGGCTTTATTGCATTTGCTTACTAAGTTGCATGACTGTTGACCCTATTACTAGGTGATTGGATGACCAATGAGTGGTGGTAGAGTTTGGATAGAATCACTGGAGAGAACCTCTTCTTAGAATGCTAAAATTCAAAAGAGAGCAGGCACCATGTGTGTGTATGTGTGGGGGAGTCAGGCTCTTCTAGGACTTCATGTGGCAGGAGACCCTCCCTTAGTTGGAGCTGGGCTCTGCTGTACTGAAACCACTCTTCCTGTGGTCCTGTGCAGAGCTATATCACCTCATAAAACAGTCTGAGGGTATGTCTGTCACCCTAGGTCAGTTTCCACTATAGGTTCCATGATCTTGTGCTTTAGCTTTCTTCTCATCCTCTCATGTGGCAAACCTGCCCATGTTGGTGATCCTTTCCTGGATACTTCGTTGTTTTCCAGCTTTCCTCTTACTCTCTGGTGGTTCTAAGTGGGTACGCAGCTCCATGCACCAGAGTAACTCTAGGCCCTTGAGACCCTGCACCTGTGCCCAGTCTGAACACACATCTCCTCCTTCAGCAGCCATGCAGACCACAGCTTGGAATGGAAGTGTGTCTTTAGCCCCTATAGCCACAGGAGGGCTTGATGCAGATTTGATGCACGGATGTGCAGGAACTCCTGCAGTTTCACCAAGGGCAAATGTAGGCCCAGGTGTACAACGTGCACTTCACAATGAGTGCATAGCAGAAGAGGGCCCAGTATAGGCAGCTGAAAAGAAGTTTAGTTTTCTGAAAAGAAAGTCAATATGTAGTCCAGAGCCTGTTTAATTCCCATCTTGGACCTTGGTAGAATGCGTGATTCCCTTTTACAGAGGAGGAAGTTGATAGCTGGACCAGCGTCACTAGATCTACTGAGCCCCGTGCCTCACTTCCCTCATCTGTAGGGTGGCCCACCTAGTAGTAAACAGGGGCCTGGACCCTTCAGGCTCCTCCCTGATGTACTCCCTCACCAGAGCATGGGACACAATATGGGAAAACTCTAAACTCCAGTGACTGTGGCATGGGTTTCTGGGACTGTGCACGTGCTTGTTGCATGTGTGTGTATGTGTATGCACACATGCATGTATGAATGCACACATGCCAAGAACAGCATCCTCCAAGGGAACTGGGTGCTGATGCGTGGGGCCTTTGCACCCCTCTCTTCTCCCTGCAGAGGGCCATCCGTGTGCGCAGCCACTCCATGGAGACCGTGGTGGGCAGCCAGAGGAAGCTGCACAGTGGAGGCATCCCTGGAAGCCTCAGTGGGGGTATTGTTCACAACAGCATGGAAGTCACCAAAACTACCTTCTCGGTGAGTATAGCAGAGCCTTGGCTATCCTGGGAGGCCAGAGAAGGGTTCCCACAAAGCCTCTTTAGGAAGGGCCAGGCACCTTGAGTGGGGCAAGCTGGATGACAGGGAGAGAATGAGAAATTGGGAATCAGCTTCTAAGCTGGGATAATCTTTGGATACTCTGTCTCAGGTAGTACCTGGGGGTGGCTTTGTGATCCTGTGACTTTCTTTGACAACCCAGTCTCCATCCCTGCAAAGTGGTATGGGGTACGGTATCTTGCCCAGGGCTTTAGACTTATGACTGGGAGAAGGGTGCCCTTTCTTTGTTATTATTAATGGTGGCAGTAGCCACCTCAGTTTGCAGTTAACCAAGCAATGAGCTGAGTTACACATAGATAAGATCTTACCCAAATCCTGTCCCAGCTGCCTGAGGCAGGTACTAGAGGGATTAAGTAAATTGCCAACGGTCACCCAGCTAAGCTGAAGAGGTGAGATTTGAATGTAGGTCTGCCTGCTTCAAAGTTTATTCCCTGCATCACCACATGTACAGTTCCCAGAGAGAGATGCTGTGCGGGCTGTGAACTTGGCCTGACTGACTTGTATCATGTCCTGGACAGATGAGAGGACCATGAGAAATGGACTTGTGGATGGGAAAATTTCCTTTCCATCTTGTAATGATTCCATCATCTAACAATTCTTGTACAAAGGGCCTTGCACATTGGATTTGCCAGGTAGTTTTATGTCTGTTACCTTGTTTTTTCCTGAAGACTCATGATATGAATGAGTTAGACATTTATTTCCATTCTGCAGATGAAGAGGCCGAGGCCCAGAGAGTTTTGCCATTTGCTTTTGGTTGCACAGCGTGGCAGAAATTGGGGCCTAATGGACTTAAAGATAGATTCGGGCTCCCACTTTTCCTTCTTCCAACTTTCCCCACTCCACTGTACACCTGTGAGGCCAGGCAGCCAATCAAGCAGAAACCTCAGCTAGCTATTGGTGCATGTGGACCTGAACTAGGAAGCTCACTTCATGTCCTTATTGTGAGTCCTGCCTGGATCCACTTGTTCATGAGCAGTGGATGATGTATCTGAAGCTCTGGGTTCGTTGAGCCACATCACTCCAAGGTCTCTCTAGCTTTGTGATTCTTAGTCTGTGACCCCTGAATCATCATGACCTTCATAATAGGTGGGGCTCCCACATGGTGGCCCCAAAACCCAAGAATGTGGCCATTGTTGGATCATTACTGGGGCCAAGGGCTTGGCTTGAATAACTCAGGAGAAGAGTCTACCAGTGGCTTGAGTCTTGGGGTCTTGGTGCCTATTACATAGACCCCACCCTTCCCTGCTGTCTTGCTGTTTTCTGATTTCTCCTGAAGAAGAGGAGCCATCTGTAGACTGCAGCAGGGGAAAGGAAGGAGTTTGGGGTGTGTGTACTTACTTTGGTGGTTTTATTGGCAGCCTCCAGTGGCAGCAGCAACGGTGAAAAACCAGTCTCGGAGTCCCATCAAGCGGCGGTCGGGGCTCTTTCCTCGCTTGCACACAGGCTCTGAAGGCCAGGGGGACAGCCGGACACGATGGTAACTGAAGGGGCCTCTACTCCAGCCCAACTTGGAGTCTGTTGGCTCTCTGCACCTTGACAGCAGCCGAGTGCCCACGCTTGGGAAGAGCTTGGCTTGGCTTCAGGAGATGGCTTCCCTTTAACCCCAGTCTCACTTTAGGTGTGGCCTGACACTCAGTTCATTAATCACTGAGCCCAATCTGACTATTCTTCACATGGAGTTTCAAAGCTGTTCTTGCAGCATTTTTGACCTAGGCTAGAAACAGTGTTTGGGTTCTTGTCTTTTTTGGCCTTCTTTTAAAATGTTCCCTCAGATGTCCTTTTTTGCAGTACTGGGGAGTGAACTCAGGACTTTATGCATGTAAGGAAATAACTATACCACTAAGATACACCCTCAGATCCCAAAGACTCCGCTCCTGGAAGCCTTCCCTGACCCTATCAGACAGGGTTAATTGATTTTCTCTACTTCTAGAATGTTCTCTCTCTATATGTGTTTAGTAACTCTCATGTTACAATGTAATTTAACCTATTCTTGCTAATTGTCTTTCTGATCCTTTAGTTGTTGAGCCCATTTGTTCTTTAATTCAGCAGGCAACATTTATAAAGTGCCTGCCATATGCTGGGCATGCTGCTGAGTGCTCAGCAAGAGCTGCCAAAGCTACATGCCAGCCCTGTAGCTCACAGTCCTGTGAGGGAAAGGAGATGCTTAGGTGGACTTGCAAGTTGTGCCTATGGTGATGGTCTCATGTCTTGAGCTAGGCCACATGGGACAAGGAGTGAATGTATAGAGAAAGACAAGTGCTCTGTTTAGAACCTGTGCTGGGAGTCTCATGGGAGCTAGAGATGTCCAGCTCTTGAGTTTTGGACAGAGGTCTTGGCTGGAGGAGAGCTGGGCAGCACAGGCATACAGGTGCTATTTAAGAGAGATGAACCAATGAATGTGATCACTCGGGGAGGGTGTGTGGAAGCTCTAGCATGTGAGTGCGAGTGGAGGACAGAGAACTGGTGACAAAGATGCTGGGGCAGAAAGGAGTGGAGGAGAGGATGCAGAAGACGTCCTCTGTAGCTATGAGGACAGAAGTTCCTTTAGGGTCTGAGGTACAGGCAAGTCTAGCACAACCCAAAGCCTTGTGTGAGTTGAGGGTTGACAGTGAGGATGTCACTAGCAACCTCATCATGAAGTATATTGAGGCATTTAGCACCTCGAGGGTGGCTGTGATAAAAAGGACAACAGCAAGTGTTAGGGTATGAAGAGATTGGAGCCCTCGCTCATAGTTGGTGGGAATGTAAAACAATGCAAAGTTTCTTTGGAAAACAAGTGGCAGTTCTTCAGGAGGTTAGACAGTTATCATAGGATCCAGCAGTTCCACTCCTTGGTATGTACCTGAGAGAATTAGAAACAGTTGGCTGAGAAATGAGTACAGTAACATAATCAATACACATATCCATTGCAGCACTGTTCAGAATATCCCAGATTGGGGCCAATCTGAATATCTTATCACATGATGACTAGGTCAATAAAATATGGTCTATCCATAAAATGAAATAAAAAGGACTACAACATAGATGAACTTCAAAAACATTATGCTAGTGATAAAAGCTGGGTACAAAAACCATGACATACTGTATGATTCCATTTCTATGAAATGCCTGGACCAGGCAAATCCACAGAGACATAAAATAGGTCAGTGGTTGCCAGCGGGTGAAGAGGAGGAGGGATGGGCAGTGTTTTCAGATGGGACCGGGGTTTCTTCTAGGAGATCTAAAGATGTTCTAAAATTGGATTCTGGTGGTGGTTACACAATTCTGGGAATATACTGCAGACCACTTCATTGCCCATTTTAAATGAATGAGGTGGGTGGCATGTATATTTTATCTCAATAGTGCTATTTTACACAGTGCACTGAGGGAAGAGTGGTTGTGTCCCCAGCAAGTGGCACAGGGTAAACGGTCTTAGTTGAACTGCAAGAGAAGGGAATTCTTGGACTGTTTTGCTAAGAGCAGTCTTTGGCTCGCTGGCACTTAGGGCCACCTTGCCACGGGGAGCTCATATTATAGTTTATATGTGGGATGTCTCCAGAGTGCAGACAGACTGCCAGGAACCTTATAGGAATCTCTGTATTGGGCCATCTTCTGAGCAGGGCCCCTGCTCCCTGTAGGAACATTCACTCTTCCCAGTGGGGTCCTCTCTTGACCCAGGTGGGACAGTCAACTTGGGGGTAAGGGGAGACTTGGACTAGAAGCCGTCATGCCAGGGCTCCTGTGGGTAATTCTGAATTCTCCACCCTTGAACCTAGAGAGGTCCTTACCACAGGGAGCACAAAACCCTGTTGTTTACTGTAGTTTCAGGAGCTCATGTGGGAAAAGAAGTCTGAGCAGCTATAGTTAGCACAGAGCACTTGGACCCCATGCTCAGAACTCTGTCTCAGCCTGCAGCCCAGAGGCTTAGAGCTGATTCCGTGCTCATTCCTCGTTGTCCTCTCTCCCTCAGCGACAGTGCATCCAGCACCCCCAAGACTCCGGATGGCGCACACTCTTCTCAGGAGATAAAGTCTGAAACCTCATCCAATCCCAGCTCTCCAGAAATCTGCCCCAACAAAGAGAAGTAAGAGAGTGAGGGGGAGGGAAAGGCCATTTGGAGTCTGGGACGTTTGTTCTGCCTCCAGATAGGCTGATAGTGCCTACCTCAAGTCTCTGGAACACAAAGACTGGCAGGCAGGGGCACAGGGAGCCACTGTGGGCGGGCTCGGCTCTCTCCTGGGCCGTCCTGCTCTTGGTCTGGGGGGCCCTGGAGCTGAGGGAGGTGCTGGTGGCAAGTGACCAGGGTTTGCCTCTCTTCCCCTTCCTTGCAGGCCCTTCATAAAATTGAAGGAGAATGGCCGGGCCAACATCTCCCGCTCCTCTTCCAGCACCAGCAGCTTCAGCAGCACTGCAGGGGAGGGTGAGGCCATGGAGGAGTGTGACAGTGGGGTAAGTGTGCCTGTCCCACTTGGAAGTGCACTGGGCACCCGTCTGGCTACACTGTGTGCATTACAATAACAGTGTGGGCAAAGGCCTGCTCTGTCTGTGTGGATGAAAGGGAAGCACAGAAACAAGAGGTGGCTCAGGCAGCTGTAACCTCCCACCGGAGCAATGCATGAGGGCTCTCCCGGAGTGACATAAAGGCAGCAGTAGAAACAGGGCCAGGCTGGGCTATGTCTTTGCCATGGGGACCCTGACTAGAGAAGAAAGGGGTCGTTGTTTCATGGGCCTAGGGCCTGGGTCCAGGGCCCTTGCTGGAGGGGCAGAGGTTGAAGCCAGGGCTCAGTCAGTAGGAAGGAAAGCGCAGATCCAAGCGTAGAAGGGGGAGGCAGTGGTCACCAAGACCTGGGGGCCTCTCAGCCTGCTGGGAACGGGACTCCTGTGGTGTGCTGAGGGTGCCCTGGCCTCATTCACCCGGTATCTCTCCTCAGAGCAGCCAGCCATCCACGACCTCACCTTTCAAGCAGGATGTGTTTTTCTACAGTCAGTCTTCGAGCAGCGAGAGCCCTGGCCTGGGAGCAGCCGCCACGCCCATCATCATGAGCCGGAGTCCCACAGGTCAGTGGCACCTGGTGGTGTGCAAGATATAATTGGGAGGATGGAGCAGGTGCCCCTGGCATGCTGCGCTGATCATTTTCCCTTCATCCTGAGCAGCATTAGGCCCTTCAGTCGTGCCAGCTCGCTTCACCTATCTGTGAGCCTCAAGAGACCTGTGTTCTTCTCTTTATTCTACAAGTGGGGAAACTGATGCTCAGAGAATCAAGAACTTTAATGGAGATACTACAGGAGAGGAGTTGGGATTGTGTGTTTAGAAAGCTCTGCTGACTTCTCGCCCTCAATCATGCAGGGCCCCTCTGTTGTGGTGACGACCCTGACAATACAAGGATAAGAGGGAGCAGCATGCGGGAGTGCTGGAGGAGGCCAGGATGGAGTCCTCTGGAAGTGCACACAGCTCAGTATAGGCAGAGCTCCTGGGAAGATCTGAGGGAAGAGAGGCTAGAGAGGCCGCGGGCGCGCTGCTGGGAGGCCCCGGTGAGAAATGTGTTACTAGCCAAATTAGAGGGTCTTTAGTCTTGAAGATCCTTAAGTAAAAAAATGCTACCTGCAGGTGAGCAGGACCATTGAGCAGCTGTGTGCTAAGTTAGAAAGGATGAGCGGGGCAGTGGAGCAGGGAGGGACAGCAGAGGGGAACAGAGTGACACAGGCAGCTGGGGTCACAGGAGAGGATGTCAAGGGGTGAGAACCCACTTGGCTTTGTAGTGGTGATTCAGGAGTCTGGGCCTTTCCAGGTTCTGAGATCCTTGCAGCTGAGCAGAGTTGGAGGCACTAGCTGTGTGGTTGGCACTGTCCATCCAGGCAGGCACCATGGGTGCTGAGAAATCAAGGCTGTCGTTCTACTCTTGAGGAACACAGCATAGCATGGGGCAAGTGCGGGACTCTGGAGGCTGCGTCCTAACACTAGGTCTGCCACTCAGTGTCACATTGGGCAACTAACTGAGGCTCTCCTCTCTTGATCTCCCCTTCCCTTCCCTCTCCCCTCACTTTCCTTCCTCTCCTCTTCTCCTTTCCCTTTTCTCTTTTCTCCTCCCCTCCTCTCCTTTCCCTTCCTCCTCCCCTCTTCTCTTTTGCATATCGAACCCAGGGCCTTTGCACTGAGTTCGATATCCCAGCCCTTCTTAATTTTTATGCTGAGACAGGATCTTGCTGAGTTGCCTAATCTGGGCTCAAACTTGTGATCCTCCTGTCACAACCTTGCAGAGACCAGATTACAGGCGTGCATCCTAGTTGTCCATGCTCAGTTTATTACTGAACCTTTCTGTGCCTCAGTTTCTTCCAGCCAATAAATGAAGGGAGGGAACTAACAGTTTCTACCTCATAGGGTTGGTTTTGTGAAGGCTAACCAAGATTATGCTTATGGGAAGTATAACTATTAACCTAAGCATATTAAATAATTGGAATAAAACAATAATAGCATAATCAGCAGTTTTATATGGAGACATTCTTGCTCTCCGGGGACCTCTGGCAGTGTCTGAGGATGTTTTATTTTTCATGGCTGTGGAAGGGGGCTTCTACTGGTATCCAGGGGTAGAGTCTAAGTATGTTGCTAAACAACGTATCTGCTTTAACCCACAACGACAAATTCTCTGGCTCCAAATGGGATATAGGTTGAGAAACTCCAGTCTAAATGATGGTCACACAGTTGGGGCCTGTGGGCCATTAGAGTGGTGCCAGGCAGACTGCTTCTGGGGTTCTCACACTGAGGGGGGTGTTGGTGAAAAGGATGAGCAAGTCAAAGGGAAGATACAGGGGGAACATCAACAAAACCAAGAGGTCCTTTGCGTTAGAGCTTCCCAGATAATGGAACAATTGTCTGCTTCCTCTCGTTCAGTCCCCTGTGGTTGGGGAGCTGTGGAGCTATATTGTACTTCTGGCCACATCACTGAGAAGCCCAACTCTCTGAGCCCCACCCCCCCATCTGTAAAATGGGATAGTTGTGCCCATTTCTTGATTTTTAAAAACAAAGCTTAACTGAATATTGATGAAATGAATTCAAGAATCTGTGACCAAACCTAGTTCCTATGTGGAGCTAGACAAGTACCAAAGTAAATGAGGTTTTGAGTAAAGGGAGAGTTAGAGTTTGTGGCTTTGCTAAAGGTCACTCAGGAAAGAAGCGAGCCTGGAGTAAATATGGTAAACCTTGCCCAGTGTGTACTGCATCTCGTGGTGAGGTGCTTCTCACATCCCCCTTCCCTTTGTGTAGTATTTAGCCTTGTGGGTTGCTTTCTACCTCCAGTCTCAGGTATGCTGTGCTAGGTACTCACAGGGTCAGGGTGGGCCAGAGGAGAGGCAGATGGGGGTGGGTGGGAGGTGGCCTTAGAGGTCCTGACACCGAGGCTTTCCTAATCTTGGATGCCCCAGCATTGGTTATTTCACATCTGGGCCTCCTGGGTCTCTCAGGAAGGTGCCTGTAGTCTGGGGGAAGACCCTTGCTTTGAAGTATCAAGAGTACTAGTCAGTAGTCTCAAGTAGGACTGCACTGAGCTGCAGATGCCTTCACCCACGGGGATCCATAGAGCCAGTGGCCCTCCTGCCAAGAGTGTAATGGTAAAGGCTCAACAATGGGGCTCCTCTATTGAGGAGAACATCAGGAAGTGGAAAGATGTTCCCCGTTCCTGGATAGATAGAACCAGTATTGTCAAAATGGCCATATTCCCAGAAATGTTACACAAATTCAGTGTAGTCTCATTCAAAGCACCAGCAGTATACTTCGCAGATCTAGAGAGCAGCATCTAAAATAGCAGAAGTGATCTTGAGCAACAATAGCACAGCAGAAAGCATCATAATACCCGACTTCAAGCTATACTACAAAGCAATGGCAATAAAAATGATACTGGAACAAAAATAGACATGTGGATCAGTAGAATAGAAGAGAGAATGCAAAAACCTCCCCAGACACATTCAGCTATTTGATCTTTGACAAAGATGTCAAAATCTATGTTAGAGGAAAGACAGCCTGTTCAACAGATGGTTCTTGGAAAACTGGCTGTCTGCAGAAGGTTGAAGCAGAACCCATATCTTTTACCATGTACTAAACAAAGACCAAAATAGATTACAGATCTAAACATTAAAACAGAAACATTGAACCTACTCGAAGGTGAAATAGGTAAAATACTTCATAGATGTAAGAAAGGATTTTTACAAATAGAACTCCATTTGCACTAGAAATAACAGCAAGAACCAACAAAGGGGCTGGTGAGATAGGAAAGAAGTGTCTATTTGAGCTAAGCACCTGCTTTGGCAAGCCCAGGAACCAGGGTTCTATTCCTGGTCCCGCATGCCATGCTGGCCTCACCCCAGGGTGTGCTGAGATGGTGACTGAATCTGGGTGTGGTGGCGCATACCTGTAATCCTAGTGCTGGGAAGGCTGAAAACAGGAGGATCACTATGAATCCGAGCTGCATGGTGAGACCCTGTACCAAATACATAAAATGAAAAAACAAGTGAGCAAATAGGGACAGCAAATCAGCAAATGCTGTGCTTCTGCATAGAAAGGGAACCAGTTAGTAGAGTGAAGTGATAACCTACAGAATGAGAATATTTTTTGTCAGCTATTCTTCAGGCAGAAGACTAATGTCTAGATTATCCAAAGAACTAAAAAAACCATCTACAAAAACAGGCCAATTAAAACAAAAGATCCAATCAAGAAATAGGCAAGTAAAAACAAATAGACACTTCTCAGGAAAGAAGTACAAATGACCCACAAATACATAAAAAAAACTGTTCAACATCTCAGGCCATTAGGAAAGTACAAGTTAAAATAACTTAAGATTCTATCTCACATCAGAAAGAATGGCAGTCATGAAGAAGTCGAAGAGGAGCAAGTACTGGCATGGCTGCATTGTTGGTGGGAACGTAAACTAGCACAGCCCTTACAGAAATCAGTACAGAGATTTCTCAAAGAACTAAAATTAGAAATCCGTATGACCCAGCTACTGCCTTTTTAGGTATCTTCCCCAGAGCTAAAAAAGTCATCTTACGCGATACATGCATCCTAATGTTTATAGCAGCATGATTTATAATAGCTAAATCCCAGAAGCAGCTGGTATACCTATCAACAGACAAATGGATGAAGAAAAATGTGCTATCCATAGATAATTGCATACTACATGACTATAAAGGAGAGTAAATTTGAGATGTTCATAGGAAAATAGATTTGTCTGGAAAACATAGTGTTCTTTTAAAATTAGATTTTATTGGTACATTTTAGATATACATAATGATCACATTCATCAAAGAGAATTTGTACCTGTACATGATACAATGTTTTGTTCTCCAGTCCCCTATCCTCCCTTCAACCTTTCCACTCCTCCCCATTTATAAGGCTTTGTTGGAAAATATAACGTTAAGTGAAGTAAACCAGATACACAAGCTTAAATGTCATATGGTATCTCTCATTTGAGCAAGACAAAGTATAAACAAAGAACATAATAAAGGATAGAAATAGGGGATAGTTCTTTTGTAAATGAGGAGTCCAGTTGACCAGAGGTGAGGGGAGAGAGGTGTGGGATGGGGTAGTAAGAAGAATTAAGTGATGACATGTACAGGAAGCTACTCATCTCAATGAATGTAAATGCTATGTCTGATAAATATGAGTAAAAATAATGGAATGAAAGTGAGGAAAGAGGATTTAGAGAGAGAGAGAGAGAGAGAGAGAGAGAGAGAGAGAGAGAGAGAAGTAGGGTGGAAGGAGATCTTAAAAAGCAGAAATAGGGCTGGCCAAATAGCTTAGCAGATTAAAGCACCTGTAAGCAGGCGCAGGGGCAGGGGGTTCGAACCCCAGGTTTGCCGTGCCAGCCCCGCCCCTGGGGCACACCGAGCAGCAATCGAGACTGGGCTTGGTGGCATGCGCCTGTAATACCAGCACTTGGGAGGCTGTAAACAGGAGAATCACTATGAGTCCGATCTAGTAGAGAGACCCTGAACACCCTGTAGACCCTTCCCTAAAAAATACCAAAAAGAAAAGCAGAAATAAACTGTATTATGTGCATGTACCCATT